AGGATGTAAGTACAAAATAGCATTTTCCTTAATGGAAAGCCGCTGTAGAGGAAAAGCATAGCCAGGCAGGCAACGAACTTTGCATGTATGCGGGATATTAGCACCGAAACAGCAACAACCAGCTAGGCAAATGGTGTTGCCTGAAATTGCCAGGGAAAAGAACAAGGGACGACCAGGACAAGGACTACAACAACAACGACGACGACGACTACGATGATGATGACTGTGTTAATGGCCAGGCATTATTCAGGGCCTCATTCCCAGATTGTCACACAGCGATAAGCAGTGGTGAGGAGGCGTGTGTGTGTGGGGGCTGGTAAAATGTCCACTGGCCATGTCAAAACTCATTTGCCGTTAACGAGCAGCCATTGTGCTTATAAAAGGATTATTTACAAATCACTGACTTTCAAAAATTGTCAACTGCAGGGCAAATGCCGCAGCCAACGACGGCAGCTTCCTGCCCTGCTCTGCTCCCCCCATCTGTTGCTGCTGCCGCTGCCGCTTTGATGTACAATTTATGAAATTAACCCTTAAGTGCTCATTGTTGCTGGCTGACATCCGACATGGACAACGCTTCAGTGAACGCTTTGGCCTCAAGTTGATTTCTTTCAGCTGATTACAGCCAACGGAAACGGATCTCTGCCCAGCCTTCCAGCGCATCATCATCATCAGCTATCAATGATTGTGTGTGTGTTTGTGTGTGTGTTTCCCATGTTGTGACTTGCAAATAGATTTTGCGATTTACAATTTGCAATTGATGGATGCTTGAACGGTTGAATGGTTGAACAGTTGACTGCTAACTGCCGGAGGATGAGCTGCTGGCCGACGGCGCCGTCGCCGCTGATGAGAAATGCAAACTCAAGGAGTCTGAGGGCTGGCTGGTTGGTTGGTGGCTCTGTCCCCTTAATTGATGGCCTTTGTTTGCTTTGTGGTCACTCTAATTGGTGTTTGCATGTGGCTGCTGATGCTGCTGCTCCCTCCCCCTCGAAGACTTGTGTAAATACAGACCCCGTTCCGCCACTGGACCAGCAGCCGCTGTGCCCCCCCTTCTTCTTACGGCTACTTTCGTCGAGTTCTTTTGTAATTTTTGCGTGCGTTTTGTTTGGACGGATTTTGCCAGCGAATGAAATAATATTTGTACATATATTTCAGTCACACTATCTGCTGAAGATGCACGAATGCTCTGGTATGGGGGGTGCTGATTTTAAGCAAACTTTTGGGCCAGGTTTCATTGAAATGTTCCCAACTGGAGATCCGAAATAAAAATAACCAAATAGGCAAAAAGCCCAACGCCAAAGATATTAGCCACCATCATAAAAGTACAGCCCAATCTGCAATCCCATCAAACTGCCCAAGCCAGCCCTGAAACGAACCGGGCATGTGCCCACTTTCGGGATTCCCGCGGCCCGCCCATGCCGAAGGGAAAAAAAGATATAAGCTCCCCTCACCCAGTCGGAGACGTCATCAATTAGCTGACACTAAATGTCTAATGCAGAAAAATTGTGCCAATTGAAAGTTTGGAACGGAAGTAAAATTCAGTTAAGCTTCCGGAAAAAAAGACAAAAAAGGACCCCATTTTTTTTTTTTTTTATTGAAACGAATTCGCGATTTAACTTTCACCGTCTAATACTTATTTTTTTTTTTTAAATATATATATATATATTTTAAAAACGTGAAAAAAAACAACCACACCGGCAACATACGTATCGGGGCCAGGGCCAGTGCCAGGCCCAGGGCTAATGAGCAAACGTAGCAGGAATAAGTAGTAAATCCAATGCCACTTGCAGAATCACATGTCAAAAGTTATTAGCCTGTTGTCTTAGTGCAGTTGTAATTTGTTTTTCGGGGGGGCCAGAACCCAAAGCCAGGAGCTGATTACCAGAATGGAATACGAGTGTGCGGAATGATACGAAATAAACAAAGTCATTTGGCCAGAAGCACAGGACCAGAAATAACAGAATTCGTTGCCAAAAAGTTTTTGGTTCGTTCTTCTGCCCGTCCTCCCTCTGCTGCTGCTGCTGCTGCTATCATTGCCAAAATCCTTTGGTTTCTGTGCGCCCTCCTTCTCTCTCTGATTCATTCTGTCAATATCGTGGCAACATATTTCCTTGCTTAATATTTTTTTTTCGTGCTTAGACAAGTTTTTGCTACAGAGCTGCAGAGCTACAGAGGTTGCTGTTGCTGTCTGCGCGATACGTGAGGGCGTTAAACTCATACATCACTTTATCCCTTATCCTGGCACCCATTCTAGCTGATGCTTCAGATGCTGCTCCAGCACCAGCTCCAGCTACTGCTCCTGTTACCCGCCTTTAACTAACTGCCTCCTCGCCTGCTGTTTGTCTTGGTCTGCCGCGTTTCCACTTTTTTCTCTCCACACACGCGGATGTGTGTCAAGAGTTGCCAATAAACCCCAGCCTGGTGCTGGTGCTGCTGCTGCTGCTACAGCTCCTTCTGGCAGGTTCCGGGGAGGAGTTCCTGCAGTGCTATTGAAAATAAATTTATAACGCATACGTCATGTGAACCGGGAAACGGGCTAGAGGAGCGGTGGAGGAGCCCAAGACAGAGTTGAGTTCTCGCAGTTTATTGCATTTGTCGCTGGCATTGCAAAACTTCAATAAATTATTTTATTGCGACAGTTATTTTGCTTGCTTTGCTCTTGTTGCTCTGTTGGTTTTTCCCCAGCAAAAATATATACATATATACCAGCCATAACTATAAGTACGAGTATATATCCATATATATGTGTGTAGCCAGCAGCCAGCAGTGGCTGTCGGAACGCATTTGGTCGTTTGCCTGCTTGCCCCTTTGACAGCACAAATTGCAAATGACTTTATGAATTTTTGTTGTTACGACTTGGGCCATAAGAGAGAGCGACGACGACGACAAGCGCTCACTGATGAGGCCAGAGATACGCGTAATGACACATCCAATCCAATCCAGTGATGAAATTGATTCCGTACGAGCAGAGATGACACATAAACACGGAATTGCATAATAAACTTGTGCAGCAGATCATAATGAGCATTGAAGTACTACACTTTTCATGGTGCGAAGGGGGAAAATGGAAAATGAGCAACCGAACATCTTGTTGATTGATGGGCAAGGCACGAGAGACCCGACTACTTCTTCTCTGACCCTTGCTGGCAGAGAGTATGCCAAACATTTGTGTAGATATATCCACACACACACACACACACACACACATATAACAACAGCTTATATATATGTATGTGTGTTTGTATAGTCAACAAATTTGTGCCCCCCAATTGAGCATTAAACACTCTTTTCAGCAGCACTTACCTGCTGCTATGCTCCTTCATCAAAAGTTGACACTTTGCGAGTTAACCTTTAATGAAAAGGCCAAACAAGGCCAATAACAACAGCAGCCAGTCAGCCAGTCAGCCAGCCAGCCCACCTCAAGGGCTCATTGTGAAATTACCCAAAGCGTAAAAGGACAAAAAAAAAGGAAAGGAAAGCAGGGAGTGAGTGGGCAGAGGGGGAAAACGAATGGAAAAGCCAAGGGCTAAAAACGAAAAGGAGCTGCCCTACTACTGCTGCTTCTCCTGCTTCTCCTGCTCTCTCTCTCTCCATCGCTGTGTTCCTTTAGGCAGCCTAGTCAAAGAGGCAATAAGTAGCAAAAATTACGCTAAACGTGGCAATTTCCTTGCAAATTGCACAATACATAGACACCCACACACACACACACACGCACGTGTACATTTTGTGTGTATTTGCGCCGCTTGGCTGCTCCTCCACTGCTTAACTATAAATAAATATATTATAAGGGCAGAGCATGGCATTGCGACTGAAAGATACCCTCTAAGCTCTGTAGAGCTGAGCCCACGGACAGATTCCACTGTTGCCAAACATCTTTGACATGCGATACACCCTTGGGTCTGTTTAAGTACTCATTTTTTATATGGGTAGCACCTATGTGTGTATGCCCGCGACTCTACATAGGTGAGATGACTGTCAATTTGCACGGCACCCCATGGCGCACGGCACACGCATGGGGCAGGCAGGCAGCAGGCAGGCAGCAGGAATCATGCGATATTTTAATGCGTGTCATATTTGATTGATGCCACAACGCGCGGCCATCTGAAGCCAAATGGAACGGCCGTGGAACAATGTCAAGAGTTTAACATTGCCCCAAGCGCCACTCAAAATGTCACGGCAGTACCCCATACCCCATACCCAATGTACTGCCGCTGCTGCTGCTGCTGGCTGCTGCTCCCCTTCTGATGCCACAGTTTCCTGACATTTTGTGCTCCTCCTGGCCTGTCTGTAAAAATTGCCCCTGCAGGTATGCAATGAAAAAGTGCGTGGCTCCCCCTTTGTTTTCATGGTGTGTGTGTCTCTGCTTTGTGTCTGGTGTGTGTGTATGTGTGTCTCGCTTTCGCTTTGTGTAATTTAACTTGGCAGTTTGTTAACAATTTTATCAGAAGGGGGCTCAGAAGGGGGCTCAGAAGTGCTCTCCGCAGAGCCTCAACTGTAAATAAGATGCGTGTACAGATATGTTTATGGGTGACTGTGTGTGTTTGCCCACATAATTTATGCCAGACTAAGTGCATAAAGGGGGGCTTTTAGTTGCCCCAATGGAACGGAATGTGGACTCAATAATCGCAAAACATATGTGCACCAATTTAATAATCTTAAGTGTTTCCCTTCCCTAAGGTGGCAGGTCCTATGATCAGTTAACTAACTAAATTATTAACCAATAAATGTATTTGTAATAAAAACCCCCATCCAACGCCAACATCAATCTCTAACCTCATTAAACCCCCTCCAGGCAGAGCCAGATCATTCATTGCTCTCTCTTTTAATCGCGCCTAACCACTGCACATTAGCATTCATAACACCTCTCTCTCTTTATCACACTACACACTCCTTCAACTCTCTCTCCCACCCACTCTCTGTCTCTGTGTCATTCCATGCCCCTTTGCCGCTTGTGGAAAACGTAAACTTTTATTTTCTTGGTGCTATTCTATCGTGTCTTGCAGGATGGACAACGCGGCCATTTAGAGGGCCTGGCATCCGTCTATTGTGAGTTGTTAATGGCTCCCTTTGGAGATATTTTAAGTGCTTTAGAGAGTGCCAGGCAGGCGGCCTGGGCGGATCACAGTCCGCTCCATAATGCCAACAGCGGTGGCGGCAGCGGCAGCGGCTGCGGTGCCGGTGGCAGTGGCAGTGGCACCGCCAGCGGCGCCAGTGGTGCCAGCGGCAGTGGTGGCAGCAACCGTAGCGGCATCGGCAGCGGCGGCGGACTCCATCACCGTCAGAAGCACGGCCATCGGGGGCATTCAATGCACGGCGCCGGTCTGCCCAATAGTCATAGTCAGCCCATTTATGTGCCCGGAAAGTATTCGGTATGTATGACCCCCACCTCAAAGGAGCACTACCCCCCGCAACCCTAACCAAACACACACACACACATACACTCAAAACAAACCAAAAAAAAGAGACCCATTAGAGCCATTAGAGGAGCTTCCCACCCAACTGTTCCCCCCGCAAGTAGAGCCAAGGAAAATATTTACAGAATCTATCAACAAAGAAATATATATTTATTATTATAAAATCTGATTGATGTTGGCGTTGATTTGGCACTTGACACAACAACAGCAACAAAAAGAAAAACAACAAAAATAAAATACCAACCGAAAAATTCGCATTAAATCTGTACATATAATTGTGTAAATATTTGTGTATTGCTTGCCGCATGCTGCATGTTTCTACAGCTACCATGTATCAGCTATATGCCTAAACTTGAACCTTTCCACTTTTAACTTAACTAATAATTGCATTTTGTAAACTATTTCAGCCCTCCAGCTGCTTGTCCGACAAGGAGGAGGACGAAATCTATGGCTTTGGCTATGGTGTGTTTGCACCGCGTGTGGCACGCGGCGGCCTCACGCAACAGCAGCAGCTGCTGCAACAGCAAACACTGCAGACGCAACAGAGCATACAGCAGCAGCAGCAGATGCAACAGCAACTGCAACAGCAGCAGCAGCAGCAGCAGCAACAGCAGCAATTACCAATCGTGCCAGGCCAACAGCAGGCGGTGGGACCCGGCGTTGGACAGGCCGGAATTGGACCGCAACATCATCAGACTCTGCCACCGAATGTAGCCCATCTGAACTTTGTGCAACAAAAGTGAGTACGATTTTTGGTTGACCCTTAACAAAGCAAAAAAAAGACTTTCTAAAAGCATTTAAAGCTACAAAGGGCTTCTTCTCTGTTTTATTTTTATATAATTAAAATCACTATAAATCCTTTAACTAATAGGGGTGCATGAAACCCATTCAAATGTTTGTCAAATGCTTAAATTAAACTTATTTTCTCTGCCCTCCTTCAATCTTAGCTGCCTGAGTCCGCGCTCTGCATATTTCTATGAATTTCCACCGACAGCTGGTAAGTGAAAGATGAAATATTTAGTAGTATATGGAAATCAGCAGCCAGTAACTTGGAAATTCCCTTGACTAATTCAATTTTTATATTTCTTGCAACTCTCTCTCTCTTCCAACTGTAATCTCCAGAGGGACGCGAGACAAAGAAACGCACCACATTGGCCCGACTGCTGAAAGGCTTGAAAACTGTCAATCGACGGGATCGCAACAATCAACAAAATGGCGCCCAGGCCAGGGTAAGTACACACATTCACCCCCACCCCCCACTGTTCTCAGTTATCCTGCGTTGGAGGGGGGAGGAAACTCATTTTCGCGCTTCGTTTTATGACCGCAAGCAAATTGTTTGTCCTGGCCCCCAGATCCTTTTCCCTTCGCCCCTACCCACTCTTCTGTGGCCTTTCATTTGAATCAACTGCTGCGGTAATTCTTTCAATTTATTTGCTCGCATTTCGCATTGGGTTTCCACAGCATTTTCCCATTTCTTGGCTTTCCTTTCTTTCCTTTCCCACTTTTTTTTTGCGCTCCTTTTGAGCTGCGTTTCTGGCATCGCTTCTTCTAGGCAGCCATTTTATGACTTTCTGCGTCTTGACTTTGACTTCGACTTGTCCCAGTGCATGTGCTTGTGCTTGTGCCCGTGCCTGTGCCTGTCCCTGGGTCTCCAGTCTCCCCATGCTATGCTGCTGTGCCTTGGCCATACTTAATCTTGGCCCTGGGGACATGTAAATTTTTATGCGCGCTGCTTCTTTGCTACTTCTTTGCTGCTGCTGCTGCTGCTGTTTCCACTGAAAAGGTTAAAAATGTTTTGCCAGCGGCCATGTCTACATTGCCACTTCTCATTCTTAGCAGTTGCCATCGTCGTCGTTGTCGTCGTCGTCGTCGCCGCTGCAGCATCCTCCCTAATATTGTACTCGCTTTATCTGCGCCGCTCACAAAGGATTCATTCAGCGCCTTTGATTAGAGCTGCTGCTGCTGGTGGGTCGGGGGGGGCGAAGAAGCAACCTTTGGGGAGCTGCAAAAAGGGAGCAGAAGGAGCACTATTCTTGGGGGCCTGGCAGTGAAACTGTGGCCAAAGATAACGCGGCCAGGACGAGGCTGCTCATAAATAAGCAAGGACATGCATAAATTTTTCACAAGCAGCCAACGAGCGGCCGGGCGCAGAAAAGAATAAATAAAAGAAGAGCAGCAACACGAAGCAGAACACAGAAAAAAAAAAAATAAATAAAAACTGAGAAGAGAAGGTGTGTGGGCGGCAGGGAACAAGCCGGCGCCTTGGCAGTGGATGGAGCCAGGGAAAAGTGGCAGCGGCAAGGACCTGCTGCAGATAAGCGCAGGAAATGACTAAGGATATGTGCCTAAGTAGCAGCATCCTACCCCAGATCCAGATTCAGATTCAGGTCCTGGAGCCCTTTCAAAATATAATTAAACAGAACTCACCGGGGCTGGGCCATGTGTTCGTCCGCCCACCCCCCAACTGATTTGCTATTTATGATAAGAAAACAAACGCATTAAACAGGTCGGCCAGAGCGAGAGACTGAGAGAGAGCAAGAGAGCTGCGAGGTGCCGCTGTGGGTCCGAAGGTTGGCGCGACCCAGGTTAGGGAACCTGACCCTTGACTCTCGTTATTAATTAAAAATTAAAACCCCGCCGAAAGGTGTGAAATAGAAAATGGCGTCCCTAATGGCGATAAAGCACGATGCGGAGCCTGGGCCCCCATCAAGTAGTCGAGTCCTTGATTTATGAGTTCACTCCCCACCCAGCCAAAGTTCAGGGGTAGCCATGAAGGTTAATAAGCCACCTTGTCCCACACAGAGGAACCCCTTTACAGAAATTGAATTTAAAAACTTTTCCCTAAATTGATTTTTTTCGCTATTTTTTGTTCCTTTCTTTTCAGGCCGCCAACGATCGTCTGCGGCACTTTCAAATGATAAACGGCGGTGCGGGCGGACAGCAGCACAGTTTCGAGGAGACAATCCATAGGGTAAGCCATAAAAAAATGGGTAACTTAAATGCCCAAGACACACAGCAAAGGTCAAAATATTCGGCGGTGGATGAAGTGGTTGAACATTAAGGAGGAGTAAAGAGGAGTAGAGCAGGAAGTATCCTTAATAGTCTTGGAATAGATTAAAATGCATCTTCAATCATTATTTATTTGATATTAATTAGAAATAAAATGTCTGCGTTGCCTTGAGAGCTTTCATTGCATTAATTCAATCAACAAAATCAAGTCTAAAATTGAAATATTCTTCCAACTCAAGTATTTATTTAGCTAGAGAAAACCACTGAACCATCACTAATATTTTGACCGCAGCTGTAGGTATTTATGTATCTTTTTATGCATATATACATCCATGAGATAGCTGTGGGTGGCATGCTTATTGGCTTGGTTAGATGTTGGCATAGTCGCATAAATATTTATGCAGCAAATTTAACAAGCTTCTGTTGCCGCCGCCGCTGCCGCCGCTGCTGCTGCTGCTGTTGCAACAGCTGTGACAGCCAACAAATTTTACCTCAACACAGAAAAATTTGCACAAACAACAAGAAGAAGAAAGTTTCGCTGGATGACACCTAAACCTACCGCCCAATCAAACTGCAGACTCCCTGCAACACCGAACACCCTTTTTGACTACATTTGCAATGCAATTTCAACACGAAAGCTGCGGCTGTTGCTTTTGAGCACGTTTACCTGTAATGGCATGCCACCAGCAATGGCAGCAACAGCAGCAAAAGCAGCAGCAGCAGGAGGTGGCGCTGGTGGCAGCAGAAAAGGAAGCGTGTAGATGCATGCAACATTTAAAAGTTCATTGCCGTCAACATTCATTATTAATGACAGCGCGCACGGCGCCCAACTAAAAACAAGCAGCAGAATGCAATCAGCAGCGACAACAAAACAAACACACACAAAACAGACAGGACAGCGACACCTGCAACAGCAGCAGCAGCAGCACCAGCAGCAGTTGCAACAACAGAAAACATTTGGAAAATGCATAATGCATATGCAGCCATACACGGTCCCACTTTCCACTTCCCACTGCCAAGCCACCCGCTCTAAGACCAAACCAGGACACGCCTAAAAGCAAACTCCTGGCCCTGTCAACGTCTGTTGCTGCTGTTGCTGCTGTTGCCAAGGCCTGGGCCAGCAACAAAATGTGTTCCACTGCATTCATAAATAAACAAAATCACTCAGCAATAACTATATATAGCAACAAATTTTCCAATTACAGTTGAAAGTACAAGAGGCCATGCGAAAAAAGGAAAAATTTCAACGTGAGCACGAGGAGGTAAGCAAAAATCAAAACATCCTTAAAGCATCAACACCACCCCCGCCGACCCACCGGACCCACCAACCCAACCGACCTTCCCGTTCAAGTTGTCCATCCAAATGGATAAATGCGAATGGCAAACATTTGCCAATTGCTGCGAATAAATCAAGCATATTTGTTTTAGGCACTTTTCACAAATTAAATAAACATAAAACTTGGGCCGCAAGCATTGCCGGGTATGCAAGCAGGCAGGGATGCACAACACTATTAATTTCACAGATTCTGAGGCCAAGTATTTTCATGAATAAAATAAACACACACACACAGACAGACACACACACAGAAGTCACAGGCCGGAAAACAGATGCAATTCTGGATGCAGAAAGCGTTTCTTAACAGCCTCAAATCATTTGGTTTACAGTGCGTTTCGTTAGTGCAGTTTTTGTGCTTAAATTAAACTAAAAAATCCACATCCATTCACATTCAGTAGTGAACGAGAGTAATCTCCTGCAGTCAGACATTACCTTGCCTTCAGATTAGCTTTTAATGGATAGAAGCGAAGCTCAAGTTTAAATATTTTCATAGTTGTGAGACTCACTGTTTTGTGTACATGCAATATAAATGCTACGACTCTTACATGCACAAGCCAATTAAAAAAGCTATTAAAAATATTTGATATAAAAACAGCAATTATTTCAGGGCATAAAAGCCCGAGTCCGAGTCCCAATCCGAGTCCGAGTCCGAATCCAGCACCCAAGTCCAGTCCAAAGACACAAGCTCCCAAAAAAACATGCAAAACAGACACGGACCAAAATGTTAAGCGTCACACAGACACACACACATAAGTATAGCAACAAAAACAACAACAGAAACAATGAAGTGCAACCTGCCAAATGATAAACTTTTGTCTGTCATACACAACACACAAAAAAAGAATTACTTGCCACACTCTGGCAAGAAAGGACATGATGATGGGCTAACATGGGGAGTACTCAAAGATTCAGAGGAGAGAGTATTATCTATGTAACTGTCGTGTGTGTGTGTGTTTGTAAAGTGTGAATGAAAGAGCAGCTTATTTATTTATATGCCAAGAGAATTAAAAACGAAGCAGAACCAGCAAAACTCAACAGCAAAACTCCTTTCTTGCCATGGCTCGTGTCTCCTGTTGATTGCCTGACTCTTGTGGCATTACTGGGGATTCCATTGCTAAAGCTTTCTCTAACTCTTATTCTGATTCCGATTCTGATTCCGATTTCGTTTCTGATTGATAATGTAAGCCCGTAGGGAGGGAGGGAGTTAGGGCGGTGGCCCAAGGAATGTTCAGGCAGAGATTCTTTGTCGAGGATTGGTAGGGGCATAATCGATTAAGGAAATCATTTCTTTGCTGGTCTCTGCTGCTGTCTGTTCAATCAACTGTGGCTCAGGCCCCCAGTTAATTATGTCAGTTATCAGCTTTCAATGATAGATACAGATACACTCACCTATACATGCAAAAATGGTTGGATGGATAGAAGAAAGGTCACACACACAGGCACACAAATTGCGTTGCTGCACGACAATTTGTCTGTTTGCTCGGGGCTCCACAACATCCAGCACGAAAATGTGTCCAGGCCTAAGCAAGGGCAATAATTTTTGTGCATAAATGAAAAGCACACAACAGCAGGAGCAGGAGTAGGATAAAGAGGAGCAGCAGCAAGCAGAAGGAGAGAATTGTTGTTAGTGCTGCTGCTTAACTTGGCCAAACAACATTCTGTTTGTCTAATTGTAATTGCTGTTTTTGTAGTATCCACAAGGAATGGCAAATGGACACACCTCCTGCTTCAGCTTCAGCTCCTTCTCCTTGCTATTGCTTCTGCTCTGCCTGCCACTGAGATATTCAGAAGAAGAAGCTGGTAAAAGCCATGCACATGAAATATTTATGACAAGAGTAGAGCAAAAGTCCAGAGAGTGTGTGTGTGGCAGGGGATGATGGGGTATGGGGGGATGTAGGATAAATGTTTGGCCTGGCCATACTATTTCTTTTCCTTCAGCAGGGGGACAGGGGCGTTTGCATTTGGCCAGGCAATTAAGCAGAGCAATGTGATTACAATTGTAAGACAGGTTTCGGTGTCTTGGCCACGTAAATTTCAATTTGGTAACTGGCAACACACATGTGTAGCATGTGATGCAGCCCCCAAGTAAAATGCCATTTGAATGCATTTTTAATGTGAGGCAAACGGGAGTATGGGGCATGGGCACGGGCACTGGCCAAAAAAAGCTTTTAGCTAATTTTTCAGCGCACTCACTCGCTGTAGTTGCTTTTCCTACTACTTTTCGTACTTTCACATGACTATTTCTATTGCTGCTGCTGCTGCTGGTGCTGTGGCCCTGGCATGCTTTCTGCTCTCGGCACAGCATTTTCATATAGTAGTATTAGTAAGTACGAGTGTACTGTGTGCTCTTAGAATTAGTATTCAGCGCACACAAAATGCTATTATTCGGCAGGACCAGAACAAAAATAGAAATGAAGAAAAAGTGACATTCAAGTAGTTTCTGCTGGGAAGGAAAATTGTTTCACTTTTCAAATGGAATTTTGTAATTTTAACGCCTTTGCCTGGCGCGCTGAAAGTGTAGCAGCAACTTGGCTAATAAGATGGGAGTGTTGGGAGGAGGGAGATGTAGATGTAGATCCACGTCTCGGCCCTATTGTTGTTGTCAGCGCCTTCAAAAGTTGACAGCATTTCGTACAGCAGTCACGTCTGGGCCAGCAGACAAAGTGCTGCCAAAATATATTCACAAAAATTCACTTTAATATTCGTATCATCACATTCAAAGAGAGAAGACTACTCGGTGTCCCTGTGTCCTGTGTCTCCCCCCCCGGCTAAACTTGGCCGTTGATCGAATCAACCCCCAAAAATATTTCGCATGACAAACTAATGCAACTTTGTTTTGTGTTTTTGCAGATTCTGCGTGACATACGTCAGGGACTGTTGCAAATGAGTCGCGGCGAGGGACGTATGGGTAAGTCCAACTCACAGACCCCACCCAGAACACAGAACCCAGAAAAAGAAAAGAAGAGTTGCTGCAGAGAAGGGTAGGGAAACTTTAAAGAGCAGCTCAGCTGTTGGTGCGCCCCGAAAGTATGCAGTGGGGAATTTTACACTTGAAATGCTTCTGCTGCTGGTGCTGCCTCTGCTGCAACTGCAGCAGGCTCCGTCTGTCGTCGTCGTCGTCGTCGTCGTCTGTCGTCTGGCGAGCGTCACATGCATAAGCGAGCATAAAATCTTATGTCCGTTTCCGGACTTGCATCCGACCATAAGCCGCATGCCGCATGCCGTAGAGAAGCAGTTGCAACCGAAGCCACGACCAGTTGGAGTTGGAGCAACTTTTGCGCCGCCTTGCATGTGGCAAATGGCATTTCAAGTTTTGTGTGCAACGTTGCGTATAATAATATTGTGTTGCCATCCTCTCTCTCACTGCACAATTTTTCGGGGGCGCTTAAAAAACTTTTTAAAGTTTAGCCCCTGCTCTCCCTTCTCTCGCTCTCTTTTGCCCGCTCTGTCTGTGGATTCAACATAATCCTAAACCTAAGCCAGACTAACCCACACACACACACGCGTGCGCGCGCGTACTCGCACAACTTGCGGCTGCTAAACACAGTCTATCCCTTTGCAGACGACACCTACATGTACGACGAGGCCCTGCGAACTGGGGCAGGCGTGGGCGGTGGCATTGCAGGGCTTGGAGGCGGTGCCCACTATGCGGTGAGTGCGCTGCACCATCAAGGTCATTGGTACGACGAGCCGCCCTACGAAAGCGATCCCGATGACTTTCTGATGGCCGGCCTCAACTGCGGACCAGCTGCCACCATTCAGGTGAGTGTCGCATATACATATATAACCCAAACGTCATTATTCCAAGTACCCCTGTATCCAAGTACCCTGGCAACTTGTGTCTAGTCTTCTACACTTCATTGAGATCTTCGACAGCGAGTAGTAGCAGTAGGATTAACAGCATATATAGGATATAGAATTGGCAGACGAAACAAGACGGTCGCAGCGGCAACATTGTCGCGTCGCAGTTGCAATCACATTTTGAATTTATGTGCCATGCCGCCCTCTGTCTCTGTGCCGTTAATCCTGCTTACTTGGCTACTGCCAAGCTACTGCTTCCCAACCCCATTCCGAAGCCCCTTTCCTATGCCAATACCCAATACCAATCCCAATTTTAGCTTTGATTTCTCTACGGAATTTGCCAGCCACAAAAGTTGTGAGGGAGTTGAGTTTCCTGTTCAGCTTTTCTTTTTACTTTTTTATGCCTTTTTCTCCTCTGTTTGGTTCGGTTCGGTTCAGTTCGGTTTCCTTTTTCGATTCGCCGCTTTTTGTGGCTCTCTTTTATTTGCTTTATTAAATTATACGCTGAATATATTTTGTGCTGGCGCATTGATTTCTACCAACTTCGATTTGTATGTCCTTTGGCATTTCTCCTCCTGCCTTTGCTGAGTGCGCCCAGCGACTGGCACTGGCACTGCCACTACCACTGCCACTGCGACTCCAAGTCGAACTCACTTTATTTTTATTGACAGTCAAAAAGTGCATAATTCTTGTTGACTTGCTCGACTTTGACTCTCCTCTCTCAGTCTGATTGTGTATTGTGTGTCCCCAGCTCTGACTCTGCCTCTGGCTCTGGGCTGCAGGAAGGCAGCAGACGGCAGCGCGTCTTGAGACTTTTCCTTTTGCATAATTTTCCGGTGTTTTCTTTTAGGTATATTTTTTTTTCTCTTTTCTTTTATTTTTTTTTTTTTTTTTGAGTTGCGCTTTTGTGGGAACGCATTAGGCAAGTTATCGGCATTTGGGCTTCTAGTGGGCTGAGGGCGGAATTTGTTTTCTTAGTCAATTGAAATCACTCAACGGCGCAGTCCCATCGGAGACGATAGGGTGGTGGGGGGCTGTGGGGCTCTTCATGTAGCGTTGTTTCTTCCCTTTGATGTGGCAAACGAAATTTGTTTAAAATTGAAATGAAACTTTTGCAGGCCGGGCAGGCCAAAAAAGGTTAAGCGCGCGTCGGTTCGTTGGGGCTGCTTAACGGACCGCATTAGCCAGCCCGAAAGATATGCCCCAATGTGACTGGCATCTGGCTATCTGGTGGCACGGGTAACGGGTACCCTGATGAGACGTTGGCTCATTGAAATAGAATTGTTTGGGACTCTGCCTTTGATCAGAACAGTCGCAGGGACTGGTCACTGATATTGCCTGTGCCTGTGCCTCGGCCCGCTCCTCTGTGTATCTCATATCAAGCGGATTCCCTTTCCACTCCTTTCACTGGGGACTAAGCCTCTGCCCCACCACCCGGCACAAAACACTCGAATTCCCTCTGTCCGAAATCTAATTCCAGTGGATTGGCTTTTCCGAAGAGTTTTCCAAATTAAAAACGAGAAAACTTTGCAATTTCCGTTGCCCAACCAAAAACACACACACAAAAGCCGACAACAACAACAGCAACAACAACCACGGAAAAAAAAAGTATCTGCAAAGGAGAAAATTTTACTAAATTTAAAATTCCAAGCTGAAGCCACTGCAACAGCGCAAAGTGTGGCATGCCACACAGAGGAGCAGGCCGGCCAGCGCTTCCTCCCTTCCCTCTCTGGCGTGGTGTCGCTTTGCCATCATAAACTTTTATAACTTTGTTAATTTTTCATAATTTTGTTGCTCTACAGCGGCCAACAAATTCTACTTGAATGCTAATCCCCATGTTTGACTCTCCCTCTCTTTGTATCTCTCTATCTCTATCTCTTTTTCCCTTGTATATATAGCTCACTAATTTGCCATCTCTTTCTGCTTGTCTGCTTTTACAGGGTGGCCGTGTGCGCTTCTCGAACAACCGCGAGAGCACGGGCGTAATTTCATTAAGATCCGCCGGAGATATTTCACTACCGCAACGAGGGCCGCCGCGACGAGGTCTTATCGTGCCACAACAGCCGCCAAATCCACCGACAATAATACCCTTAACGCATGCCAGGTGAGTGCCATCCCCATCCCCCCTGCCCTCCCATTGTATATACTGTGGAGTTGGGCGTTGGGCTGTATTGTTGATTGCCATTATTATTTGCAGTTGAGTTTATGGCCAAAGGGCCGACAGGAAAGGTGGCGCATTAATACAAATAAAAAAGGAATCCGGCGATGGGTTGGGGTGTAGCTGGGGGTGCCAGTATCATCCGTTGCTGGGATTGATTGTAGGGTTTGGTATGGGACAGTTATGATAACCCCTTTTGGTCAATGGTCAGACTCACACCCACACCCAGCCACACACTTCAAAGGGGGTCAGGGGCAGCCATCGAATGATCATTGATCCATAAAACTGTGCCACAAAATCTCTGCTCAGTGTGCCATGAAAAGGCCAAACATTTTTGGGCCAGTAAACAGGCTAGTGGCAGGCCTAGCTTCACTTTGGGACGGGCTTTGGCACCCCAGCCTAAATGGTAGGTGGCCAGAAAGCAAAAAGAAAAAGAAACACCAAAGCAATCAAACTGGCTCAATCGCCAAAAGGTGCACCAAAGGATTGACCCAACAGACAGACAGACAGAAAGAGGGGAAATAAAGGGTAGGTAGTCTCCACTTCATTAGTGCGGTTATCAATGCTCTGCAGCCACATGAATGAATCAGCCAAACGAACGAATGAATGAATGAGGGAATGAATGAGGGAATTAGTGACTGAGTGAGTGAGTGACGGAGTGACAGAGAGGAGAGTGGCAGACCAACATATCGAAACGTATTGGAGCGAAAGTCATCAATTTCATATTGTTACGCATGCCACAATAATGGGAGATGGGCGATGGGCGATGTGGCAAGGGCAGGTGGCTGGTGGCAGGGTGCCAAGGTGGCAGGCAGTCAAAACCAATAAGAAGACGAAACGAAGACGAGAAGGCAGCGGCAGAGACAGCACGACACTTGAATGAAATGGCATTATTGCTACTTCAACGCCAATCCACCAGACGACGGAGTCAGGCTCTCCTCTCAATCAACCAACAGGCAGGCGCACAGGCACACAGGCACACCCGGCACACCCGGCACACCCGGCACACCCGACACACCCGGCAGTCCCGGCAGTCCCGGGCAGCGTTTTCCACACGTACGCATACAAAAGGACTTGCTGAAATAACTTATACGCCCTGTGCGCCTCTGGGGCCCAAGCGCAAAAGAAAACTTTCCCAAACACGAAACGGGGGAGGGGGGAGAACGGAATGGAATGGGAACGAGCACCGAAGAAGGTGCAAAACAAACAGCAAAAGGCAACCAAAAGTGAAAATCTCCACAGTGTTGAAGCCAAATGGCAAAAGAAAAACTCGTAGCAAGAAAAGCAAGAAAAAAAAAAAAGAAAAGGGAAGGAAGGAAAACGATATCAAGTATTTATTTATATGTACGAGTATGACCTTTGTTTGCCACACGACCTCTGGCCGTGCCCCAGCCTCTGGCAGTGAGAGAGAGAGACCTTCGGCCCCCGCGATTATTGTTTGCCATCAAAATGTTTGTCCAATACGATTTTAAAGTTCCTTCGGTCCTTCAGTAGGATGTGATACCCACTCAGGTTGTGTGTGCTGGCGCTTAGATAGCTTATTATTGTGTGGGGCATACGATTCAGGGGAGATTCATTTGGACGGAGATTGAACATTGCAAATGGATACACAATTTTGACACTTGATTTCTTTCTTCTTTTCAGATCCCATGATCGTGAGAGCGGCGACTATGCGGGTTCCATTTCAGATCTACAAAGCGTTACCTCCAGGCTCAGTGCTGTATCGGTAAGTATCCCCTTTTCAGCTGGGACTGGGACTGGGACTCGTCCTGGTCTCATTTAAGTTGCAGCTGCTCCGCCTCCACCTGCAGCCCCCCGTCGAACTGAGCGCATCTGAATGCGTCTAAATTGATTAAGTGCTCTTTGTGACAAACAAACTTCGCATTTGGCCAATGTCGTCTGGTCTGGGTCTCGTCTCGTCTGGCCGAAAGTGGACGAGCATCGAGCAAATTCACATTGAGGGAGCCGCCGAGGGAGGGAGAGCCGCCTCGGCGCATAAAAACTTGAAAAGCTTTTTAGCCAAGTTTTTGCTTCTTTCCTTCCCCTCTGTCTCCTGCGTTTTCTCTGCTTTTTTTTTTGGTGTGCTGATCCTGGTGCTGGTCCAGGGCCAGGTCCTGGCACTTAAGCTGGCTAAACGTTGTCGGAATACCAACAAAGTTGCCCGCATTCGATGGGGCAGTGGAGGGGGTTCAGTGCGGAGTTGGAGTCCGGACATCAGCATTTCATTTGCAAAGTTGACTTGACTTAACTTGGCTAATATGGAAACGCACTCAACTGGTCTCAATTCTCTCTCTCTCTCTCTCTTTCTCCACCGACAGATTGGCACCAACAATTGCACGGCTCGATATCGAACACTGAGCGGCGGCATCGGGGAGTCACCCTCGCTGTCGCCCAGCCCCTCATCGGACTACGAGGACATTGGGGTTGGGGCCGCACGGATGCACGGCCTGGCCCCAAGTCTGCTGGCCGCGAAGGCAAAAAAGAATGGACTGCCGCACGGCAAGGCGAATACGATTTGTCAGAAGGCCACAGTGCATCATGTAAGTTAATTAATCGCCCTGCAGCCCTGCAGCATATACATATGCAGTAGATAGAGAGAGAGAGCCGCGGATGGGATGATGGGAGGATGGATGCACTTGCAGATGCAGATGCAGATGCGGGGCACCTGCAGGGACACTTTTTGTTGACACATTCTGTGATTCTGTCGGCCGCAAAATGTAATTAGCCTGGTCGTTGGTGATTTGCATACATATATGCAATCGGAGCAATCGTAGCAACCGGGCCACGGGCACTCCTCATCATAATGATGTTGGCCTAAACTCTTTGGCATGGAACTGGAGACTGTGGAAGGGCTGCAAAGAGGCGCAACATGCACTCTAAATGCAAATGCCAGTTAAATGAGTTTTTATGGCCCCACACACCCACACCCAAACCCCAAACCCCGAAACCCCGAAACGGAAATCCCTTCCTTTGGCGAAAGTGAAAGTTCATTTCGAGAAACTTTAAATGTTTGTGTGCCGCTGCCAACAACAACAACAACAACAAAAATATGAGCAAAGTTTTGTGCTCTCCTTTGGATGTCTATGTGCAATGTGGCCCTTTGTGCAATGAAAATGAATGAGCAACAAAATATGAGGCTGCAATCACCGCCTGTCCGCATGTCCGCATGTCCCCTGTCCGCTGTCCGCATGTCCGCCTGTCCTTTAATCTCTTTCTATGCTCGTATTTGTGGAAAGTGTATGCCAAGCTTTGGCATTAGCCTTTGGTGCTCGGCGTCGTCTTTTTTTCGGGTGGTCAAGAGCTCAATTGTGTGAGCCAAGTCAAAGCCAAAGCCCAAGCCAAAACGGAAGCAATGCAGCCAGAAAGCTAAAACCGAGTAGCCCCCAAGCCAGACATTGCTATCTATCCCCCCCTCCATCTCTCTCTCTCTCTCTACAGCAGTCACTCCTTTTTGCTCTCTGTGTATTGGAATGTTCGTTTTAAACTTTTTAATGATTTAACTAACAAAACTTTCGTTCCGTTTTTGTTCTTGCCTCTCTTCTATTTCTACTTCTGCTCCTCCCCTTGGCAACATGCAATTTATTGCACAACGATGACGACGATGCGACTCTCTCTCTCTGTCTCTGGCGACTCATTCAACTTTCACTTGGATTCGTTTTCGGCTTCGGTTTCGGTTCGTTGCTGTTTCTGCTGTTTCTGTTTTTGGTGTTTTTTGGCAGTCGAGCGAGATGCGTAGCTCGCCAAAGGAAATTGGCGCTTTTAATGAGAATGGACGGAACTTTGTGGCCACAAAGGATACATCGAGGGATTTCAGCAACTCCCAAGACAATACCGACCGTGGCAGCATGAGCGATCAGGCGTTTGCCTGTTCGGCCAGCTCCGTGGAAAGTTTGCCCAGCGCTTCCGGTTCGAGTAAGTATATACACAAATTGCACCACTACTCCTAGTATCTGTCTGTAAATATGTATAACTATTGTGTGGTGTGGTGTGTGTGTGAGTGTCTGAGCTTGCAATTTGGGGGTTTTTTTTTTGGGGTTTGATTTTGTCTGTTGCTTCTGCTGTTGCACACTGAGCTGTCTGAGTGGGGGAGGCAGGCAGGATGTTGCTGTTGCATAGAAAAATTCCCAGACTGCCTGGCTTGCATATTGGTCTATTAACAGTTGTAGTTCTTGTTGCGGTTATTCCGTTGCTGTTGCTGTTGCTGTTGCTGCTGCTGCACAAAATTTTCCAAACTTAATGAATTTTTAATGCAGTTGCTGGCGCACAGGGACGGGCCATGCCGGGCTGGGCCGTGCCGGGCCGGGCCAAGTGGCAGCAGGGCAATGTCTGGGGCGTGGTTAAATGAAGGGCAACCGCTTCCCTTTTTTAATGAACAAAACTTTTGCCCAAATAAAGGCAGCAGCAAGCAGAGCAAAAGGCGGAGCAGCAACAGCAACAGGATGAAGGAGTTGCTTCTTGATGAAGGGTTAAGGGCTAAGGGGGGTGTAGGGGACTTTGAAAAGTGCAAGGAAAAATACTTTATTTTGGCCATGTGGCCAGGATACACAAAGCAAGGATTAGCCAAAAGCTTTGGCCAGCAAACCAAACAGCAAGAAAAGCCAAAAAACAAAACGAAACGAAACAACAAAAAAAATAGAATGGAAAACTTCAAGTGCATATTTGAATATTTTTGGGAGTACAGGCCATCGTCTTTGCCTCAGTGTGTGTGTGTGTGGGAAAATATTTGAAAAGTTTTTAATTAACCAAACGAATCGTGTGTGTGTGTGTGTGTGTGTGTGTGTGTGAGGGCATGTTTGTCCAGGGAAAATTCCTTTAGGTTGCTGCCTGTGGCTAATTGGCTGTGGGCGCATTAATTGGAAATTTTCCCAGACAAACTTTGATCCAAGGCAAAGGGGTTTGGGGGGGACGTACCAAACTAAATATTTATCAAACTCTTAATCCTTTCGCTGCAGGCACACAGGCTCTGGTGCGTCCCGGCAGTCCACACAGCTCCATATCGGCGGAGGATCGCACCTCGATGGCGGTGCACAGCGGCAGCATCTGCAAGGCCAAGGCCCTGGTGGATAGTCTGCCCAATCCCTACGACAAGGAGGCGCTTAAATTTAAGGTAAACTATACGAATAATAGGCAGTGCCTCATGAAGTATTCTAATCTTGGTGTGGTGTGGCCTACAGAAGGGCGAGCTCATCGATGTGCTGTCGATGAACGCCTCGGGCATCTGGAAGGGACGATGCCACGGCCGCGTCGGACACTTCAAGTTCATCAATGTGGAAGTGCTGCCGGAGCAGCGTCTGAAGAACTCCAGCAGCAAGACCCTGGGGCCCAGCTCACGGCTGGGCGGCAACAGCAGTGCCTGCAACAGCAATGCGAACAGCCACAGCAACAGCAACAATGGGGGCGGACCCAGCTCGGTGGAGGATCTGCTGGTGCGCATCGGGCTCAAGGAATACACCTCGGTGTTCGTGCTCAACGGGTAAGTGGTGTAGATGAAACAAATTAACCAACCTTTATTGTGTTGGATTGTTTCACCTATCGTTCCATTTGCAGGTACGAGGATCTCGAGCTCTTCAAGGAGCTGGAACCCGCCGATCTCGACTATCTGGGCATACTCAATCAGGAGCATCGGGCCAAGCTGCTGACGGCTGTGCAGCTGCTGCATGACATTGAATGTAAGTGACATTTAACCCCTGCCCCTGCCCCACCCCTCCCATTACCACCACCCCCCAGGGTATTTCATTTGTAGACCTTTCTTTGGGCTATTTAATTTCAATCGCAAACCTAACTCAACCCACCAACACCCACACTAACCCACACACACTCACATGCATACTCACAGCTACAAATTTCACCCGTACAGGCTCCGACGTGGACATAGCCGGCTCCAGCTCAGAGAACGATGAGGCACGGCTGAACAACATCAACAAGAAGCACGGCGCCTCGCCCTTCGGCCGGCGTCACTTTCCGCGCGACTCGGGCTGCTATGAGGGCTCGCCGCTGCCCAGCAGCCAGACACCGACGCAGACGGTCAACTCGACGGACGAGTCGAACAGCCTGGACGACGTGGTGACCAAGTGCTCCAGCGAGATTATGAAGCGCGTGGAGAGCGCGCGCCGGTGCAAGGACAATCCGTTCAAGGCGACGCTGCCGGGTGGCGGCCGGGTGGGCAAGAAGTCATTTCTCGGCGGTGGCGGACTTATGGCTGACGATACGCTCACACGTGGCGGACTCAGTGAGAAGTCGAGCGATTCGGGCGTCAGCAGCAGTTCGCTATCGTCGGGTCCGCTGAAGAGCAGCACTTAACATTTGCCCACTATCCTGGCCCACGAGCTGCTGCTGGGCGTGGGCGCTGGCATGGGTCTGGGCCTGGGCCTGGGTCACGGTCACGGCCTGACTCACGGCGGCACCGGTGGCAGTGTGGGCGCCACATCGCCCACCACATCGGTGGCCTCGGCCAGCCTCATTGGGGCCCATTGCAGTGGCGTGGGCAGCGGTGCGATGGCCGCCGCACCGCTGGGCAACATATGCAACACTCTGCCGCATGCCCCGTCCAGCAATGTGCCCCTCAACCGGAACCTGGTCATGCTGCGCAATCACCTGCGCAAAAATACGAGCGGCAGCAGCAGCAGCAACAGCGGTGGCGGCAGCGGCGGCAGCGGCAGTGGAGGCGCACAGCTGCTGCAGGATCAGGATGACAAGGATCAATAACCCATTTACTACATCAAATTCTTAGTCTAGGTTCGTGGATACTGGATCCAACTGTATTTGAGTTAAGTGTATTTCAATTGCTGTGATTCGATAGTGAAAACAAAAGGCCAACACGCGTCTTTCAGTTCAAATGTATAGTGTATAGAGAGAGATAGACAGACAGGGTGCGCAGGGTGCAGGGTGCAAGTGAAGAAAGAGATTGATAAGGGAAAGAGGTAGAAGCAGAGAGCAGAGAGCGGGAAGAGCAGTCTTCAGAGCCAGAGCCAGAGCCAGAGTTAGTCAGTCAGTCAATCCTTCCTCCGATAATGTTGGCATTTACACAAATATATAGCATATATACATCACACACACACACACACTACACATATACACACACTTAAATAAGCAGAAAGAAAGAGAGAAATTCTATATACATATTGTACTTAGTAAAGTTTTGCCTATTTTTTTAGTTAGCTTTTTTATTATAGCAAGCTTCGTACGAGACTTGCCCCGTCTTTTGATTTGCCCCGTGACCTTCCCCGTTTCCTGTTCAATTTGCTTTGCATATACTTAGGCATATAATTCTCAACGTGATATTGTGAAACGTCCAACTTGAATTGCATTTTATACACACAAGCACACACATAGACAGACTCCTTTTTAATGTCTTTCCAAAAACCAAACAGAACACAGACAACTCTCGAGTTGATTCCTATTTTAAAGCACTCCGCGGTGTGCAAGCAATAGTCCAATTCAATTTTAATAACCAAACGGAATACATACGAGTATTTATTGTATAAACCACACACAAACCTAAACACACACACACAAACTTGAAACCGAGAGAACAAAAACACCAAACTGCCATTCGATACTAATTTTAATTGTTTTATACTCGTATAAGTAAACAGAAAAACATAATAATGTAAATGAAATGAAAATAGAAATGCAAAATGCAAAATGAATATATGGAGACCATGAGAATCCGTCAGAAACGTGTAAAAAAAATTGCCAAAAAAATAACACACACAAATAATAATAATAAATACAAAAAACGAAACACGAAACACGAAAAAAACGAGAAGGAGGAAATGTAATGTACGCTAAGCAATATTTTTCAAATCGTAGCGAATGGTGTGCGGATCGTGTGTACATATGGGAAGGGAAGGGAGTGCGGATCCAGCTATAGAGAACAGAACCGTTTATGCCATTTATGGAAAATATCAAAATGTATCCATTAAGAGCGATTTAGCGATAATCAAAAGCAGACAATGAAATTAGTCAGGCAGCGCAAATGTTTTTAATCAGTTTCCATGAATTAGTTAAATAAATGAACGAGTATTTATCGGCACAACGGCACACAACAACTACGAATAAATCTAATTAAATATACACACACCCACACACACACACACTACATGAATAAACTGATTCGAATACATATGGAAGCATAGCATATAGCATATAGTCTAGCATAGAGCATATGAATATTTAAACATATTTATGGCCATTATTGTAAATGAATAAAAGAGTATGCTTTGACTTTTACTCGAAACTCGAAACATAATTAAACCTGAACATACATATATATTATCTGAGCATAAGGATATCGATAATCGTATGGATAATTCATCTACTCTAAATCTAAATCTATCCAAATAAATTAAATCAAATTTAAACCACAAACAAATCGCACGTGTTACAGCCAGATAAAGATAATGATAAAGCTACCGATTAAGATAGAATGAACGGGGCAGAAGGGGGGTTTGGGGGGGACGAGGAACGATAGTGAGCGTAAGGATAACGGATTATAGGCATTTTTAAATTTAACTATCCAAATTACGTTTAAGTGTTTCACAACTGTAAATTGTATCAAAGTTAAATAAAAGATTATTTATATATTAGAGAGAAACCAAGAAACCAAGAAACCAAGAAACCACAACCCCAACAACACAGCAAGTGCTAACTTCTTCTAATTATCACTGTAAAATGATGTAATTTAAAGAAAGAATATATAAGCAATATTAAAGTTTAACCTTAAAAAGAGCAACAAAATTGATTTTTAAGCCAACAAACAAACACACACACACACACAAACACTCACACATTACACACCGACAACCACAAAACCAACAAAAACAAAAACCAGTAAATTTCCATTAGTACACAGTAAAAAGTGAGCGCAAACTAAATTACGAGTATTCATTCATTCAGAGTTCAGTAAATTTTAGAAGAAATTTTCAAGCAAAACTAAAAACGAAAACAAAAACAAAAAACAATACAAACAAAATGGCAAGCGATGATTCATGTTTACGCATAAATCAAAGTAAAATTCTTTAAATAAAAGTGAACATATCTAAAAAAAATAAACAACAACAGGCGACTTTCATCTTGGTTTGGGTGCGGATTTCGTTTTGGCTTCTACGATATTGAAAATCAATCAAAATTATGATGCACACTTTTGGGCTCTTTGCCCTAAGTCTTTTGTGTGAAATGTGCCAGCCACATCCTAGGTATGTATACCGATCTACAATATCCAAATACAAATACCATGCGGTGCCGGCACGTGTGGAGATCTTTATCGCCAATGATCAAGCCCATCATTAACTTCCATTGGCTTTCATTGGCATTGACCTGCCCGCAGCCTTGTGCAGGTCTGATCTTTACTATTGCCTCAGTACCCCGCCATCAATCATTTGATCGGACAAAAGAGACGGCCCCAATGGCTTTCGTAGGAAGCAATTTCGAGGGCACTCAAGGAGAGCTGAAAGTTCACAACAATTGGGAGCAGAGCAGAGCAGAGCAACAGCCGCGACCTCGCCAGCACATGTGATTCACCTAACCCTCCCAGAACGGGTACACTGTGCCGATGATTGCTAAAAGACTATACATTCGTATATATGTATGTACAAATGTAGACCAGGAACAGTCGGCACAGCGACACGCTTAGATGGACACAACGCGTCGGTGTCGGAGTCGGTGCCGCTGACAGTCAATAGATTAGCGACAGCGCCTCCGTAATCTGCGCTGATTAAATCTCAGATCTACTTCTTATCCCAGATCTATACTGCATTTGCGATGATGATGATGTTTATTCATAGAGAGAGACACACTCGCACATGCTCCGCTCTGTGTGTTGGGGGGGGAGGGCTTACTTTTTACAGCGTCTAGTAAGTAGTCGCATCTCGGTTTGGATTCCAGTATCAGCACAAGCGGGAACTAAATTTGCGCTTAAGTGCTTCAGTAAATTGTTAAATTGCTTTGTCTTTCGTTCGGCTGCTATATGAAATATATGAAAATTGATATTATTGCATTTGCACCCAGCTAAGTAGACTTTATCTCATCTTCTGCTACAGTTTCTCAGCTCTCAGTTCTCAGTGCTCGGCTTAGTTTCAGTTTCAACCTCAGTCGACGCGCGTTCGCATTCCCAGTCAGAGTCGTTAGACAGCAGCAGCAGCATCTGCGCACACAGACAACAAAAAAAAGTTAAATCATATCTGTAATCTAATAAGCATATGCATACTCGTATAAACACATACAGTTTTTTAGTGTGCCTCGAAAAACGCTCCTACTCAAGGTGCAAATGCAGCGGAAGTTACCGGGATCGTTGTCTGATCTCTTGGATGGCAGCAGTTAATTCGAGCTTAAGCTGGTTGCCTGGCACCAGACATTATTTCTCTTTGTCTAGTCCCCCGAAATGTGTCTTTATCTCGGGCATCCGTATCTACATGCGAGAATCTTATCTTTTTTTTGTTTGAGACATGAAAGCTCTGTCTTTGCTTCTGTCTAACAGCCACAATAAAGTTCAAATTGCATGTGCAATCGCAATCGCAGTGAGAATGTAACATTTTAACGATTATATGTTATATAATTCCCCGGTGATTGTTTTCCATCCAGGCCAATCCATCAAATACCCATTTGCTTTCATCAGTGCTGTGCTCTACACCCGCGACTGATAAGCATGTTGACCCATAGAGCTCCTATCTGCATATATTCGTGATTAGATTCGCTGTGGCAGCCGAAAATCGTCAAAGACATAACCTGCTCAATTCTGGATTATATAAAAATAGCCCCATAAATGTGACAGGTGCAGTGCCCTCTGGCCGCTTCGCTCCGAGTGGAATGTGTGGGACCTCTCGTGATGCTTAGACGTTTACTATTCTAATCGTATAAATTAAAAAGACATTCTGTTATCAGCTAATAATTTTATAATGCCGTATATGCTCCATCTGGGCCTGATAAGTGGCCACAAACCCGACCGGCCGTTCAAAGCAACACCGTCGGGTGTTGGTAACAGTTGATGAGCTCTCGCAGGCGTCAAAAGTTTCACCATTTCGAGGCGGGATGTGAACAGTGCATTCGTCGAACCGTGAAAAACCATTTACATTTTCAAATATCCCTCAGATTGGGATGAAGTTGTAGCACTGCATCGAGCATCATTCTCAAAGTGAAATCTCAGAGAACAAATTGCTAAAATTGTTTAAGGTGAAAATTGTATAAAGTTACCAAACAGTTTAATAAAATACTTGCCGTTGGCAGAACGGTAAGATAATCTTCTGTGCCGGGCAGCATACAGTCGTGGTAAGTTTATACGTTTAACAGTAAACAATTGTTGAATTGGCACTGATATTTTTTGAAAGAGTTTATCTGTTAAGTGCTGGAAAGTGTTGAAGACTGGAATAATTTGTTTATTTTTTGTGCTGAATCGATTGAATTCATTTGCCTTTTCCCCTATCACAAATTTGATTATTTTTTCATCATGAAATGGCTGAAAGTCTATTTATAGCAATCAAATGAATTCAGTTAGTCAGTTTAAAGCAAACAAACTCTGCTCGTTATTCCGTTTCAATATCAGAAATTATGACTAGCAATTGTGCATATAATTTAAAGATTTTTACAACTGCTATGGCGCCAAAATTCTCATAAGAGTTTTGGATGAATTGCCGCGCAAGCAGTGCTTCTCGTTTAGTGCGAAGTTCTTAAGCTGAGATGCCATAAAGATTACTCTCGTTATCAGGGACCCATAACCGACCGACTGAGTGCTAGACACGCTGCCAGAGCAGCGGCCACTCCACTCCACGCCCCTCCAAAACAGAGCAGAATGAATGAGAAACTGGAGAAGGCGAACAGCCGGAAGGCGTCCCGCGTCTCACACATGGACATCGATGAATCGGAGCTGAACGATCCCTTCCAGGCGCTCATGGAGAAGGCCGGAAACCATGGCCGCTACCAGACCCTCTACAATTT